GCTATCAACTTTATCACTACCTTCGTCGGCAAAATCAGGCGAATGCAAATTATCACAAGTTGATTGGTCCGCATTACAACTACACATTTCTGTGCAAGGCATATTGTTTGCTAAACATTTACATACTGGTGAACATCGATTTTTAAGACACGAACATCTAATCAGTTGAAGAAGAGACTCTGGGGCACATGGTTCTTCACACATAACGGGAGTAAGCACTCCCTCTTCCAAATACCAGCCGTGTCCAACTGGATTAGGGATGACTGAATTTGGTTCATCATCTGTTGACCACACAAATGCTTGAAGGTTAGCTCTCTTAATTGCGGGTACAAGGGAACCTCTTGTGGGGGTAACTTATCTCCAAGGGCTTGTTTGGCAGTAAACATTGACCATCGTAATTCTGCAAGTGATTTTGTTAGAGTGCTTGCTTTATAAACTCGACAAATAAATATTTCTGGCTGATGCAAAACATCATCAGGTACTAAATCACTGGTACCAAGTTTTTGCAAGGCAGTAACTTTTTCTTCACTCGCTGAAACAAATGCCTTCCGGTATGACAACTTTCCTTTTCCAAACAAACTTCCGGTGGTGTCACAACCAGATATTGCACGGAACCCGGGCAGTGCTGAAGATTTTAGTAGTCCGACTGAAATATATATGTTTTTAACTGATATTGCCTTGCCTGACGATGCGATGGTACAAAAAAGGTGTTTTCGAGAAGCATTGCATAGCGCCTTACTAGCAAAACTAAAATATCTGTATCATTAGCAAATACCAGTAGTGTATCTGCTCCTTTAACTTTCGCATTAATAGCATAAAGTGTAATTTTTGTGTCGGCTTCTTCTTGAGTACTCTTTAAACAATTCAAAGAGCAGTGCGTCGCAGAAACTTCTGTGCGCCATGAAACAACATATTTTTTGCTGATATCTTGGCATGACTTAGAATTGTATGTGTAAGATAGGTGGTTAATTCATCCTTGGTACGAGTATGTGACAACAACACGAGACCTTTTTTTACGTAAAAAACGTCGTAAATGTATATTTCTTTACTCACTGGTTTTATACAGGTACGGACGAAAAGTTATTACTCTTCAAATCAGTTAAAACATATGTAGGTGGCGCTCTCCACAAGTCGGAGTCATATTTACATTAAAATCAAATTAATCATGTCAAAAAACTCCCAGACAACAATTTTCGTCCAAATATTGACGTTACTTCAGAAATTACTTGGAAAATATCGAAATAAAAATAAAACTTCTACACCCTGTATCTCCGAAACTAAGCGTTTTAGGACATACATTTTTATGAACTTTTTTTCTTATTTTTATTTGCAGAATATGCTGGCAAGTTTTTCCGCAGCCGGTTTCGACGCCGTTTTTTATTCGATTGTATACTGTATTATTTATAAATGTGTAGGTTCCCCTCGAGAAAGGGCTATTCTATAGGCAGCAAAATCCCGTAACACACCAGTCTATTGTCTCAATGCAGCACTGCAGTCTTAAAGTTTATTCTGTCTATTTTGCTGCCGCTTTATACTGGCTAGCTATTAAACATTTATGGATTCACTCTCTGCTTTATCTTTCGTCTTATACGAGCCGGCATAATAACTTTCAGTGGCAAAAAATAGAAATAATTTTCTGAAATCTCTCTGGTTTTTATTGTTTTGGCAGGTACAAAATTTTAGTAAATTTCTCACAACTCTCCGCAGAAAATTTTAACATTTATATTGAAATAATATAATAGAAATAAAGAGAGAACAGTAAACACCTTGCCAAACGTATGAAATAACCCGAGAAACTGTGCACATCGCTAAGAGACGTGGAAGGGGATATAGGAGATTTCTCGCAGTCGACCGATCGACCCAATCAGTAGATCAGTACCTCTGTCAGTACTTAAAGTTCTAGCACAGTTAGCCTGGGCCAAGATGTCAAGAAACAAAATATATAAACTTTGAGTACTTTATTTTTTAAATGCCTATACCACTGGCTTCAAAAAATATAAAAATTAAAATCGCCGACGTACAATTGGGGTCTCTACACAAATTTAAAAAAAAACTTTTTCAACCAAAGTAAAAAGCGCGTAAAAAGTTTTGTTAATAATAAATAACGACCATCATCAGCAAAAGTTATGCTTACTGTTGCCCCCCTCCCTGTTTCTAAATCCAGGAGGTTGGGTCTCTGTACAAATTTAAATAAAAATAGACTTTAATCTAATGGAAAAGGCAAAAACATATTTTTTTCTAATATTTTAGTGATAAAATTTTACTTTATGTATTAGTAAACAAGTAAAACTACAAACTAGCAATTAAACACGAACTGAATTTAGACTAAAAAGGAAGAAAACAATTAGGTACTAGCTATAAGTAAATAAATAAATTTTAAACATGGTTACTGTAGTAGGAAGCAATACTCCTAAGGAGATTTTTTGATAGTTTTTTTTTATCTCGGATTTAAATTAAAGTTTTTTGAGAACAACTTAAAAGAATGATGCACCTGCTCTGAGGCTTGCTCAGAGTAAAAGCCCAATGCTTTCTGTGAAATACTAACAAAATCCACTATATGGTGAACAACAGCGTGAGTAAAACTGATTTCCGTATCTCTTATTTTGTCGGAAAATTTAAGTATATAGGCTTCGTAATTGGTATCAATATATTTTCCAAAACAGCTGGCTACCACATCATTGAAGGCACAAAATACCTCTATGTATTTGTTGTCTAAAAAAAATAAGCAAAGGGCTTAGTGTCCAAATAACAATAAGAAAATAAACTTTTGTTACAAATTAAGTTAATTACAGTCATACCAGGATCTAGTGCTTTAAGGACGTCAACTTTTTTAAACAAGTTTCTGGCATTATTTCCATTAAATCTACTGTAATGGTCTAATTGTATCCCAGAACTTCTTAGCCAGCTTTCAGCAATTTTTATAAATGTTTTTAATTTTTGCTCAGACCTAGGTCTACCAACAACAGATTTTGTTATTGGATACACTGGTGATCGCGTATTGTTTACTTTAGTTCTGGGATTAGGCCTAAACCTGGCAACTTCACATATTTTATAGCTACATAAATTCTCCTTTCTAATATCTAAAGTGGTTCTTAATAAGTTATGGCGTGTTATGTGTTAAAAGGTTGAGTTTTTAAATTATCGCAATTACTGACGTTTTCTCGTTTAGAAAAAAAAATGGACACCCTAACAACATCCTTATAATTCCATTTCAGATGCTCAGAAAAAAAAGTCTTTTAAAAATAAGCGGTTTGCGATCGTTATTTTACTTTACTTGATAGGGAAAGGCGTACCGGCAACGCCGCAACAGCACACTGTCGCATTTTTCTCGCTGTGACTTAATACGATCTCTATGCGATTTACTTCCACACATGTAAATACCGACAAAAGTATCAGTTGCCAGCACGGTATATTTGCTCATGTATTTAAATTAATAAAGTATAATAAACACACTGAAAAGTCTAGGGATATTACAATTTTATCCAGCCAGTGTCAGTAATTTTATTATTTGCATTTCTGATATAATAAAATTAAAATAAACAAATAGTTTACAGGACGTATTGGAAATAAAAATGCGAAATTTACCGAATTTTTCAAATTTACCTTGATTTTTATTGAACTCAAAAAAATACACACATTTTTTTAATTCTAAACTGTGAATTAAAAAAAAAGATAAAACCATTTTTACTTAATAAAGGGTATGGCCTCCTCTACTGTTCATTAAGCCCTACATCGTCTCCTCCATGCTCCTGATCTTCTTGAGGTAGAGCCTGCCACGCTGCATTCACGGCCCGAACCAGATCCCTACGAGTTTCACGAGGCATACCCATTCTCAAAATTCTTCTTTGGACCGCGTCCCATACGTGCTCGATGGGGTTGAGGTCAGGAGATTGCGCCGGCCAGGGTAAGATGTTTAATTGATGAGCATTGATAGACTCACTTACCACTCTGGCTGTATGAGGCCGTGCATTGTCATGCATGAGAATGAAGTTTCTTCCAAAATCATTGGCATATGATAACACGACAGGCTCAAGAATTAAATCACGATATGTGATTCCTGTTAGAAACCTTTCAAGAAAAACGAGATCGGTTTTTCGGCCTAACTGGATTCCTCCCCAGACCATAACTGTTCCACCACATGATCCAATCGAATAAGATTTCCCGGTTCTCTCCATACCCTAAGCCTTCTCGAATCCGGATGAATTCCAAAGCGTGACTCATCCGTGAAGAGAACATTGGCCCATTGTTCATTACCACTGAACATGATCTTGAGCACACAAATATCGTACCTCTCGATTTCTTCTGGTTAAGGGCTGAGCTCTCCAGGGGCGTCTGCTTCTTAAGTTGACCTCTCTGAATCTATTGCGAACAGTATCAGGACTAACGGTTACATTATGTGTTTCCTGGAGAATTAAACTAAGCTCTGGAGCTGTAAGAGTCGGTCGGCGTCGAGTATTTAATTGTAAAAAATGATCTTGCTGAGGGGTAGTAATGCGATGTCGCCTTGTGTGCCTTTCAGCAACATCAACACTTTCACGGTAGCGTGCACTTAATCGCGATATTACACTTTGCGTTGTATTTAATGCTCTAGCTACGTCGATTTGGCGCATTCCAGCTTCAAGCATAACCATGGCCCTTAGCATTTCGTCTCTGTTAAGATGTCTACGCTCCATAATATCCTTTAATACTAAACAGAGTTATTTGAATGAATTCTGGCCAGTTATCATAAAAACATAGCCAGTACAGGTTAAATTCAAACAATTGATGCTAGGCGCTTTTTATACATTTGACAAAAAATTCACAAACACTTCTGCAAATATAACAAATTTAGAAATAACTAGTGTGACTACTTCGTTTCAATCGAAGTAGAAAGAATCGGCCTACAAATATGTGGTTGTTTATTCAAAACATTTATTTTTAACTTTAATAAAATGATTTTTCCGGTGTGTGTATTTTATTTTCGACAAATAATACTTAGAAAGACTATCAAATCCTCTTACCTCTCTTTCCGCAACTCGTTGTTCCGTTTTCTAAAATTCGACACCAACATTTGCATTTCCTCGGCGTGCTGTTCGTACATCTGGCCCAGCTGCTGCGTGAAATCGGATACTGGAACAATGGAGAATTTTAAATCAGACAGACAATAGACTGAAGTTTTCGAGGTGTTTTTTTCGTTGATTTTTTTCGATTGCCCACACTTCTCAGTTTGGAGTTCTTCGACGGAAAACTTACCAAATTAAAAGTTCGCTTCTTAGTTTTCGCGGATCATCAAGTTTAAATCAATGAAGTTTCAGGTATAAAAAGTATTATACTTTTATAATTGAAAAAGATTTCGGTTATAAAAATCAACCTGGGTTTTTTTAAAAATTTTAAAAAATCGTAACTCCAAAATTATAGTAGCTAGCGAAACGCGGTTTTTTTCAAATGAAAGGTATATATGTCTAGATTTGTTATGAAGTATTTTTAAATTGTTGAATGGCTATTTCTTTGTGTAAATCGACTAAATATTAAAACATACCTGAAAAACACCTACACACAATACCTCCATAAATAAATTAATTGTCATTGTCAGTGGTTTGTCAGTTAAATTATATATCAAGTTTTTAGATAATTTAGGGATCAGTTCATACAGCCAGCTTTAGATACATAAATATTAGAACAAAGGTTCGTTTAAACGACATTAGTGAATTAGCTACACAAAGCGATTTTAGGAAATTCATCCTCTTAGAGAGTAAAATTATGTCGGAACAATTTGTTGTATGAAAATTCCTTACTATGTGGTCTAGAAGAATAAAATCCTACAAAAAGAATTAGAAGAGATTTTTGAAATTCATCAACCAAATGGGTAAAGTTAGTAAAAATTTATATAAAACTTGGATTACCTTGGTGACATCTGGATTATACACATAAAAATTGGCACAAAGGATCATTTAAAAGATATGAGTTAATTATTAGGATAAAGCGATTTCATGAAATTTATAATCTTAGGGAGTAGAATAGGGAATGAAAGTTTGCTGTACGAAAATGCATTACTATAACATCTAGCAGTATAAAATTTTATACAAGGGTTTATTAAGTGACACATCAATAATATAAACTTCTATATTTCTTCTACAATTATCCTTCAAGGAATAAAAAATAACTATAAATGGAGTATTAGTGTTCTTAATAAACCAAAAAAAGAGATGAAAAATAAAAAAAAAATATCAAGGGAGTATATTAAGTAAAGCGACAATTGAAAATTTCAAATATTCATTTGAAAACTTCATATTTCAAAACTATTTATTTTAGTAATACAGTTTATATGGGACCATAGAGGGGTTCCTATCTATAGAGGGTAAATAATCATTTCACTATTTATTATTTTGGAGAGATTTTTTTTTCAGATTTTGCAATATTTCTTTGAAATTGACTTTGGTTCGATTTCGAAAATAATCTCTATATAAATAAGAAATAAAAACCGCCCTGGAAGATCGCCATCCCCTCTATCCAACCATACATAATTAGTTTCAGTCAATGGAAGTAGTTAGAAAAATTGAAAAAAGTGTTAAAAAAGCAAGATTTCAAAACATTTTGTGGCCAAAATTGAACTTCTTTTGAAATACTTTGATTTCGATAACTTCTAGAATTATTAAGATTTTTTATTTCAGACGGCTCTAATCAAAAGTTTTATTTTTGGTATACAAAGTGTGTCATGTCATATACAGGCGATGAAAAATAAAAAACGGTTTTTAAATTTTCGAATTTTCTTAAGTAGATAATAATATTTAAAGAGAATAAAAATGCTCTTTGAAATTGGAATATTGACGGCTTTTTATAAATTTTAAGTAAAAATATGTAATAAGTTAAAAATAACAATATCGATTTTTGTCGAGCGAGTCTTAAATAAGTGCAATTATTCTTAGCGGTAGTAGGTATATTTGACCTCAGAAACACGATTATGAGTTTTTTCGCGAATTTTTTGAAATTTGGAATTTTTGAAAAACCTTTTGGATTTTTTTAGTTTTTAGTTAAAAACCATAATTTCTTTGATAATATGGCAACATAATAGGTAGTAGATTAAATTTACAAGACAGAAAAACCCGAAAAGCTGCAGTGGTTCTTAAAATTTAAGCAAAAAATATTTTTTTGGAAATTTTAAAGTAAATAACTCGGTTATTTTGGAGTTATTTGGAAAACGGTAAAGAGAAAATATGGTTTTTTATCGAGATCTACCAGCCCTGAAAATATTTGCACTTATTCAAGACTTGCCCTGTATAATACCCAGAAAATCGACAATTGATAACTTTCATATGAAATACGAGTAGCTCTAAAACTCTTAAAAACATAGTTTCAACAGGGCATTTGTAAGGCTCACTAGCTCTATATACAAAGTAAATCAATTAAATCAATGCATGAATTATTCGAGGTGTAACGCGAACGTAGTCGCGGGAAAAACCTAGTTTATAATAACATCAAAATCAGTCAAAGTCGCAGTTTTCGAGATATTAACATATTTTAGTATGGGCGGCTATACGTGCCTCCCGTATTGTTTCTTTTAAGAATAAATTAACCCTTAAGTACTAACATATTGAAATAGTCGCGCCTATACTAACAGACCGTCTGAGAGACGCATTAAAAAAATACATATTTTGTTTGGGTCTAACAGATTCTTTGTAAGTGGAGTGAATCATTAGCATTAAAACTACAGGAAAAAAAGTATCTAATGCTTATATTATGCAAACATGTTTTATATTTTTGAAACAAAAGTACTAGTTTTGGATTTTTGACATATCTATGTTTCTCATCGAGATAGAATAAAAAGCGAAAGGAAAATTAAAAACTATATTTATTATTATATCTAGCATATAAAAACCTATCTATTAAGCACAAAAAAGCAAAAGAAAATATAAAGAATAAAAAAATGACAATGCCTAAAGATGGGCTTGTTCCCTACACACCTTTTTGAGCATTCCAAACAATTGTTCTCTTTATTTTCTTCGATATTAGTCTACTGATCGTTTAAATCCATATTTTCATCATCTATACCAAACATACACAGCTACATACCATTAGATATTAGTTAAAAACCGTTTTTTACCTTCTAATTCGAATTCAGAATTATGATCGCTGTCTATAGAAAAATTTTCGGTACATTCGGATTCTATGTAACTATTTTGCTATTATCGCTGCCAATCTCTTCAAACTACTTTAGAAGAGTATCCTTGTAATTTTGCTTGCCATATTTCACATGTTTTGAGCTATTAGGTGCTTGATTCATTCCACAAATTAGAAAAAAAAAACTTACGTTAACACTAACACTTCGTCTGTCAGACGGCATCGACAGTTTAAACTAAAATATTTTGAAAACTACACACTTTCGCAAATTGTCCTGCCAGCTTTTAACCTGTTTTGATGCTTATTGAAATTACATAGTTGGATGATAATTAGAAACGGAGAGGAGTGGAGATGTCATATATCCAGCTAGTCCGTTGCATCTGTAAGACGGGGTGTTAGTACTTAAGGGTTAAACATAATAAATAGGCTGTACTTAAACTGCCGTTAAACGGTAGCTTACTAAAATGCCGTTAATAGGTATGACGTCGTTGATGTGACGCACTTGACGGCTTTATGAAATATAGGAATTTTATAAGGACTAACCAACGTTATCCACCCCACCAAATAACCAACTTAACCAACGCAACTAACCTCGACACTGATAAAAAATATAAAAAACAAATATAAATTAGTAAAAATCAACCAACCCCACCAAATAACCCACTAACCAATGAATAACACCCTCCAAATAACCACGCTAACCAACCCGCCAAATAACTAAACCACTCCAACTAAAAAGAGTGAAACCAATGCAATAAGATCACGCTATAAGCAAAAAAAAATAAAAAAGTCTTGGTCGGCGTGAGATTTGAACCACGGACCATTCGCTTACGAAGCGATAGCCTCAGCCACTGACCCCACAGGTGCTCTTGCAGAATGCTTAAGGCTAGGCATTACTTTTTTCCGCCGACATGAACGACGTCACAATATCTATTAACGGCATTTTAGTAGGCTACCGTTTAACGGCTGTTTAAGTATCCGTTTAAGTATCCATATAAATCCGTCATGCGTCGTGTCTTGTTGTTTTTAACCAGTTTTATTGGTTTATTTAAAAAATTACAGATCGTATTTCAATTTTATTGGTTTGACGGAACGATGAACGACAAACGGACGCCGATGCGTATGAACTCGCCTTTAGATTTTTGTCATTTTTGACGCTTGTCAAAGTCTTGCCAAATTATTGGTTATAATTTTGTGTCAACTTTTGTTAAATACCCTGCATTTTGAAAGATGATGCATTTTGATTCGTATTATTACGTGTGTTTTGTGTCTTTTGAAGTCAAGTGGAGGAAAAATCGAGTGAAAATTAACTGTAGGCCCAGAGCACAGTTTATGGTTAATACACGCTGCCCAGGCAGAAAGTCTTATACACCAATGAAGTTGCCATCGATAAAGTTTGTATACCATTTCGTCGTAGATAAGTGCATTTCGTATATAAGGATCAAACTAAACACATACTAAAAACTGGAGTAGCTGTAAAATATCGACATCACACGATAGGTAAATAATGGATTTTAGTACTGGTGCAGAAAAATAATGTCAAAAGGTACTGGTTTAAAAAAATTAAGATTAAAGGTAATTAATCCACCTTTAAGGTATAAAATTTGGTAGGTGTTATTATTAATAAAATAGTTGTTGTATTTACCTATGTTGTTTTATTTATACCTGTGGAATATTACAAATTTGTATTTGTACATAAGTTATATTGATAAATATAATCATAAATGCGGGTAGTTTCATAAAGCTTGAAAGTAAATAATAGTTATTTTTTATATTTTTTTGGTATGTAGTGCCTTGTTCTTGTTTGTTTTGTATTAACACATACCGTTTTTATTAAATAAAATAACTCGATTACATTTTTTCAGTTTTATACAATTTTGAAGTAATCACTTGTCATCTTGTCAATCAAATTTTAAATATATCGCCACAGATATCGCTATGCGTTCCAGTTGTACCAACTTATTTCTTTGTAAAATAAAATAAACTACTTTGAAATTAAAATGACAGACACA